CACCCCGCGCCCCGGGCTGCCCGCTGCGCCCCAGACTCACTCCTGGCCAGGCCCAGGGGCTGCAGGCGGCTGTGCTCCAGCCTCAGCTTGGTGATGTAGTTGCAGCAGTCCAGGAAGGCCCTGACGCACTGCGGGCCGAGGCTGATGAACCTGGCCCTGCGCTGGCAGTTGAACTTCATGGGGTTCTCACGCATGCCGTGCTCACAGCAGCGGCGCAGCTCCTTGTCCTTGTACTGCCCGGCTGTGGACACACCCCCAGTCACCCTCAGGCCCAGCAGGAGGGCGGGGCAGGTCCCCCCTCCCCCCAGGCCTCCTCCTCCTCAGGTCCCTCCGTGGGGCGGGGGTGGGGGCGGGGCAGTGGGGCGGTGGGGACCCCACCTTTGTCGTTCCGCTTCTCCATGAGTTGCACAGAGCGCCGGCGGCGGGCGGCTGGCTTCGGGCACTCAGGGTCTGGGCAGGAGGGTGCAGAGCAAGATGGGTTAGATCCCTAGGTGCTACAGCGCCTACTCCTCACCAGACGGGAGGTGGGGTACGGCGCTCCCATTCGACATATAGAGACACTGAAGGGACTTGCTGGCCGCAGGGGCAGGGCTGGACCCGGGCTCTGGCCTCAGGCCCCCCGCCCTTCCGCTCCTGCATCTGGGCGCCTCCCGGGGGCAGCCTCACCTGTCCGCTGCTTGGTTTGCAGGCCTTTGCTGGTCTGCAGGGCCAGTCCCGCGTCGGCGAAGACGCCTGCGTAGTCCTGCCCACTGCCTGCCGTGCAGCCAATGTCTCCATCCTCCACGATGTTCCAGATCTGTCGGTGGGGCCCGGCAAGGTGGGGTGAGGCCAGGCCAGAAAGGCCTCCTCGCAGGGGCCAGCACTTTCATCCGTCCCACCCGTCCCAGCCTTATCCCAGCATCCAGCAGATGATTCTGGAATATGCTGCTGCTGGGCCCGGAGGTGTCCCCTCCGCTGACCAGCCCCTGCGTTCCCATCTTCAACCTGAACTTCAACCCCTGGACCTCTCCTGCGGCCCCACCAAGCCCGTTTGCTCTGGGGGCTCCATTTCCGTCTCCCTGCAAAGACATCCGTTGCCTCCCACTTCTACCCAACGGGGCAGCCAAGGGCACACCTTCTTCTGAGTCAGCTTGTTCTTCTTATTCAGCACAAACACGCCTTTGTCTACAGCTACCAGCCCGACGCGTGCTCCGTGGTCGCCCTCGATCTTGAGGGTCATCTGGTGCCCGGGCAGGTGCTGCTTGTATTTGTCTTCATTGCCTTGCACCACCAGCTGTGGGGAAGCAGAGGCGGGGGGAGATGTCACCCTGTGAGTCCCTGGCTTTGGGGTAGCTAAGGGCGGGGGCAGTTCTGGGCTGAAAGGCGGAGACAGAGAAAGAGGCACAGGCAGAACCAGCTTCAGGTGGGAAGTGGAGGGGAGAGAAAACCGAGTGCGCGAGAGAGACAGGCACACCTCGGAGTGCTCGCTCCAGGACGCAGCGGTAAGCTGAGTATTGCAGTAAAGCAGATCACATGAATGTCCGGGCTTCCCAGTGCACAGAGAGGCTATGTTTACACTGCACTAAATCCTCAGCAATGTGAGTAGTTTCTTGAGAGTGAAAGACACCTAATGGAAACCCATTTGATCCCAGCCTAACTGATATAAGTCAATTAGGTTTCCAGGGCATATTTCTGGTCAAAAAACCTCACTCAACTTCTAATGAAAGACTCTGGCCACAGCCGATATTCAACTGTCAACGGTGTTTGTTCATTCACTTGTTTTTCCACCCACTCGTGACAGGGCCTGGGTCCATTATGGCCCATGAGGTGTATAATGGGGCGTGTTCAAATCAGTGCACGCACCTTAATTAATGTGGGTCAGAGACATAGGAGGAGCATACACAGCTGGCAGATGGTGCCAGTACTCGAAGCTGGGTTGCCGTGAAGCTCTAATGTGCCAAAAGCCAAAATATTTGCCACGCGCAATAGTACGAGGTGTATCTATAGTACGAGGTGTATCTGCTCGGAGCTGGGACAGAAAAGGAAAGGAAAAGAGAGGGGCAGGGACCCTGCAGACACAGGAGAGAGACAGGGGGAGCCAACTGGGAAAGCCGTGGCCAGCTGGAGCCCCAGGACGGGCTTGCGGGGTGCCGGGGAGCTGACTTACCGTGCCCACACACGAGTCCTTGACGTCCACCCACACGGAATCAGCCACCACCTCCCTCTGGCCGCTGGCGCCGATCAGCGTGTAGTAAGCCACCAGGCGGAAGGAAGGGATGAAGTCCGTCGTGATGGACAGCGGCAGGACCACCAGGTCCTGGCCGGCCTCGCGAGCCTGCCGTCCCACCTTCAACAGCTTCCCTTTGTTCAGGACCTGGGGGGACAGGCAGCAGAAGGATTTGGAAGGTGGGGATCCAGGATCCGGGGGGGCTTTTGGGTGTGCTGGAAGAGAGGAGGGGAGGCAGGGGGTTCCAGGAAGCCACAGACCAGGTAGGTGTAGTATCGGATCTTGGCATCCTGGCCGGGGTCTGTTCGCAGGTGGAAGTTGACATTGAGCGTCTCTCCTGGCTTGAGCTCCATTCGGGGCACAGAGAGATGCAGGTAGTTGTTGGAGTTGCTGTGGGTGGTGTAGGGATGGACTTGCATGGTCTTGGTGGCCTGCTGTGCCTCTGGGATATCCTCCTTTTTTGTGTGTACCTGGTGGGGGAAGAGGGATGGACGCTGGCCTCCCACATACACCTGATCCTAATCCCTGGATCTAGGAATATGGGACTTGGTTTATGCGGCAAGAAGGACTTTGCAGATGGCTTAGGGTGAGGATCTTGGGGAGCTGGGGAGAGGACCTTGGATTCTCCAGGTGGCTCGATGGTCATCGCAGAGGTCCCCCAGCAGGAGGACCCCAGTGTGCAGGGTCCCTCTCTGCAGCTCTTTGAAAATGGCTACATCCCATTACACAGACACAAAGCCTACACCATGCATTTGACAGGATCCCTCTGTGCAAATGCCAGGACACTGGTGGATGGACAGAGCTCCCCACCTCCCAGTGTGGGGTCCCGAGGCTCGGTCCAGACTCACAGTAATGCTCAGGGGCTGCCGGCTGTTGGGAGTGTTGATGCTCAGCTTGGCCACACCGTCATCCTGGGTCAAGGAGTGGACATCGGAGCCCTGGGTCATCACGGGGATTCGGGGGGCCGGGGAGCCATCAGGGTTTGTCACGAACACCTGTGGACACAGTGGCAGGTGCAGCGGGGTCAGGAGGGCCCGGAGGCATGGCCAAAGCTCAGCAACAGGGCGACAGGGCGAGGTCTGTCCGCCCTGTGTCTCACCATGAGGTCGAAGGGCATGGCTGGCTTGAAGAACTTGGGTGTCTTGGTGAAGTGGATCTGGTAGGGGGAGGTCACGATGGGGATCCCATTGAACTCTGCTTCCACCATGTCACTGCCTGAGGGGTGTCGAGCAGTGAGCTCCTGGGCTGCCTCTGAACACGGGGCCTCCCCACGGACATGGGGGTGCTAGGCCTTCATCCGCAGCCCAGGCCTCACCTCTGTCTAGAATGACGGTGACAGACACGTACAGGGACTTCCCCACCAGGGCTTCGGCTTTGGAGGGCTGCACGCCTCCCAGCAAGACCTCTCTTTTCAGCACAGCCTCCCCCCTGCCGTCCTCGATCTGGGGAAGAGAGGCAGACTCAGAGAGGCTCAGGTAGGGAGGGGCTCAGAGGAGAGGCAGGGCTCGGAGGGGGGCTCTGTCAGGTACCAAGACTCGAGTGAGGGACTGTGCCAGTGAAATCCTCTGGTCACCATCCTGGACCCCGAAGATGACGAAGGCTGTTCCTTCCACATTTTTCCCATATAGAAACCTGCCCGGAAGGACCGTCTCAGCATGGTCTGAGTCTCCCCTTCCGAAAAGCCGAATCTACCCCCAACTCCCACGGACCCAGAGCCCCCCAGCTCCTCACATTACCTTCCCCTGGCCCTTTACCCGGTACTAACCTATATCCTCACCTGGTCCCCACCTGGCCCTACCTTAGCTCCTCACCTGGCAGTGATGGTGACCTCCATACCCTTTGGGTTATTGATGTAGTAGAATTTCTCTGCAGGCTCTATTTGGACCTCGAAACTGGGTAGCACTGGAGGGGGGAAGAGATGGCACTAGTTTTGGGGAGCAGCACTGGACCCAGCCTTCCCCCCCTGCTCCAGGCTCCTCTTCTTACCATACTCCTTCACCTCAAACTCAGCAGAGAAGACCTGTTGTGGGGATTCTTCATAGTGGGCACGAATCTTCCACTGTCCCATGCTGGAGTGGGGGCGGGGGACAGTGGGGAGCGGAGGGAAGGCAGGTGAGAAATCTGACAAGGTCTCACAGCTTCCCACTCTTTCTCCTGGGTTTGGGGTACCCTCTAGGAGGGCCTGACATACTTGACCAACTCTGGAATGTTCCAAGACAAGGGTAAGATACCACCCTGGTTGTTAGAAGACAAGGAGTCCTTCTTGATGTTCACGCCGTCGGGGGTCTGTGGGGAGAGGGGGAGGCATGTGGCTTTTCAGAGACTATCTTAGCCTCTCTCCCTCTCCCCGCCTGGCCTTTCTTTGTGCCGTATTTATAGAGTCAGCGATGAAGAACAAGAACATATTTCCATGGTGTCACTTGTGAGCTGTGTGATCCTGGCTAAGTGCTCAAGGGGGCCCATCTAGAAAACGGAGCTCCATCTCGTCCCCACCTCATTGGCTTGGGACATATTTAATATGAACAGGAGCTCATTGCCATTTTTCTCTCTGAATACTACTAATAACAAGTAACACCTAATAATAAGTAGCAATAATTACTACTTTGGGGCATTTGATCTGGGCTGGGCCAGGTGTAATTGCCTGCTTTAGGCTTTTGACCCTCAAGAATAGCTTTATGTTCAGTTTGGTCTAATGCATATTCTGTTCCATACATTGCCAGCGGTTAGACATTGGGAGACACAGAGATGTGGTTGTTCCTACTGGCTTCTCTGGGAATTGGGGTTAGGGCAGATACGACATCAGACTGGAGGCGTCAGACTGGAGGTGGGCCCCAGCTTTGTTCCCTGCAGAACTCTCCCCAGTAGTCCTGCAGCCCGCTCAGGGCCTTCAGAGCCTGGTGCTGTTGTGGGGATCATGCTCTCTCCACATGATCTCTACACTCACCATGACCCTGTGGCCACAGCGGCTCTTCCAGCCTTCCCTCTGCTTTCCCCTCCTCCTTCCCCTCTCTCCGCCCTTCTTTCTCCGCTTGTTTCTCCTCCTCAGTGCTCTCTGTTCCTTCTTTCTCCCTGCCTCACTTCTTCCAGGACGTTTTTATTAAGCTCCACTGCATGCCAATGATTGTGCGATTTGGAATACAGCCTTGAACAAACAAAAACCTGTTCCTGTAGGAGCTGGTGTTCCACGGCAGTCAGGGAAGAGGAAATTAACAAACACATCCAATTCACAAGAGGAAGAGATGGCAGGAGGAAGAAAGAGTGGAGTGTGTGTGTATGTATGTGCCTGGGCGTTTGTGCGTGGGGTACAATTTTATAGGGTGCTCAGAAAGTCCCCGCTGCAAAATTGGGGCTTTGGTGACATTTGAGCAAGCGCCCTCTGGCGGCAGTAGGCAGGACAGACTCCTGTCATGACCACCATGTTCCGGGACCCGTCGTCCAGTGTGATGTAGGTCCAAAATATGGGAGCGTGCATCGCTCCAAATTGTCTCCGTAGGTCTCCACCCTGTTTCCAGACTATTCTGTGTTTGCGCTTCTATTTGTTCCTACTGCTAAGCTTTTTAAAGACGTTTCTTTCTGTCTCCCTCTTGTCTGTGTTTGGACTTGTGGCTATCCCTCCCCGGACCCCTCTTCCATCAAGCCGGTACCTCAATGCTGACTATAACAGTCCGGCCCACGGGCAGCAGGTTTTGGTCCACGGTGAAGATCCGGTACAGGACTGGGAGAAAAGGGGAGAGCCCCGTGAGCCCCGCGCTTCCCACTCACGACCCCCCCTTCCCACACGCGACACCCCCCCTCCAGTGCCTCCTACTCCCTCACCTGTGGAGCCTGGGGTGTAGATGGTCTTGTCTGTCTGGATGAAGAGGTACCCGCTCTGAAGGCTCACCAGCACCACCTTCTCCACCTGCTCTTTCCCGAAGTTTGCCTGGACAGTCACAAACTTGTTCTTCGTTGATTTCAACTCCTTGCTGACCGGGATCTAGACATGGACCAAGGTGCCATTAGGGTTCTGCCCAGTCCTCTTGCCCTCAAGTCCGGTTGTTAGGGCTTAGGAGAGGTCCGGCCTGCTTCTCCTTCCACTGAGTCTCCCCATCACTCTTGGGCTCCCTGGTTTGCCCGGATTTGGGAGACAAGGGCTATTGCAAGCAGAAGCAAGGGGCAAGGTAGGGATCAGAGATGGGGCTAGTGAATCAGAGGGGGGGTGCTCAGAGGATGGGGGCGCTCAGATGGGGAAGGGACCCCAAGAGCGGAGACTTAAAGAGGGGAAGGGTTGACTTTGGGGAAGAGCCTCAGAGAGAGATGGTGAGCAGAGAAAACTGGAGGAGGGGAGGTGAAGAGGGGGCCTCAGAAACAGGAGGGGACTTGGGGCGAGGAGGAGTTCAGAATGCCAGAGAGTCAGGATGGGAGGAGGTCATGGGGGGCCTTGGAAGAGGTGGGGCTCTGCATAGGGTGTGGCTCTTAGGGAACGGGCAAGGGAGGTGAGGGCTGGAATGGGGCGGAAACAGGGGAGGTGTCAAGAGAGGACAGGGGCTTTGGGGAGAAGGTTGGGGGGCCCTCAAGGCAGCTTGCAGTAGGCACCTACCGTGATGGTGACTGTGTCCAGGTGACCATTGGCACTTGTCAACATGGTTTTCTCGCTGGTCAACACTTGCTTCTTGGCTGGAAAGTCGGTGACGGTGACTGTGACAGGAATGTCCCCTTGCACATCGTGAGCTTCCAGTACCACTATCTCCTCATTCTCCAGCCTCAGGATGTTTGGGGTGATTAAGGAGTACCTGCCAGTGGGAGGCATGGAGGTGAACTGTCATCCCCAGGACCTCCGAGAGTCCAACCCTCACTAAATCCAAGTAGCCCAGGCTCTGATCCTGGATGGGACCCAGCGCTGTGTGACAGTCAACTCTGAACCTCAAAGCCAGAGCCAGCAACTCCCCCAAGTCTCTAGATTTCCAAAGCCACACCCGCTAAAGCCCCCGAGTCCCTTTATACCTCAAAATATAAATACTGGGACCCAAATGCACTTACGTCTAAATCCAAACCCACAAACACCCTAAACCTCTAGCTTTCCACTCCCACCCTGAGCCGACATAAACCAAATCCGTAAACCTATAAACTCTAAAACCCATAAATCCTGAAAGCGTAAACTCCCAAATCCTGTAAGTTCCATCCATACTTTTAAACCTCCCAGTATTGGTGCAAACACTACAAACAAAGGTACAGACCGGTTGTATAAACATCTACACTCTCCTCCCTCTCACAATATGTGAATTCCACAGACACCCAGCTCCTAAACACTGGGGCTCACAGTAGCCCAAATGTATTAGCGTTGTGACTCAGGGTGTCCTGCACGGACACCCAAACGCACCCTGAATTAGCAGGAACCTACCCGTACCCTTCTGCCTCCAGAGTGGGTTTGGGGTGGGGTCTAGACTACTCACATGGGATCCCCCAGGGCCAGGGGGAGACAGGTCAGTAGAAGCAGCAGCAGGCTGGCACCTGGGGCAGGCCCCATGGTGCAGGGACAGAGGGACAGAGGGACAGAAGGACAAAAGGAAAGGATGGGGAAGAGTGAGTAGAGCCAACTGGAACTGCCTTTATATGGCTCCCCACACCCAACCCTGGGCCCAACCCTCTGCTCTGCACAGCCTCTTGGGGCTGCCCCAGATTTCTCAATACTGTTTCCTACATTTTTCAGTCCCTGGGGCCAGCATGTCCTGGGGCAAGTGACCTAAGGGCCTGTCCTGCAATATGCAAGCACAACTGTCCCCTGCCTCAAGGTCACAGCGGCCTGGCATACAGGAGTGTTGCCCTGCTCTACCCACTTTGTAATGGAAAATCACTGAGTTCAGAGAATCCCTCCTCTGCCCCATACACCCGGCTTCCAATTCACTTCCAATGCCCACTTCCAGAGACTGCCAAGCTGGGATTGGAAGTCCAGTCTAGCACGGACACTCCGAGTCCCATGGAGTGGTGTCTTCCTTAGAGAAGAAAATCTCTGCTTCTTGGATGGTCAGGGAAGGCTTCTTGGAGGAGGGGACATTTCATTTAGGCTTTAATGCATGCAAAGGAGTTCACCACCCAGCATGTTTTCTAGGGCAAGGGGACCCTGGAACTCCCTTCATCTATCCTTGCCAGGATGCCTGAGTGGCCATGATGGTTAAAAAGTGTCATCACTGGCCCTCCGTGGTGGCGCAGCGGGTTAAAGCACTGCACTGAGAAGCTAAAGCCACTTCCGCATGAGTTCGATCCCCGCCTGCCCCGGAGGTGACCACATGGCGCGGCAGACCTCTCCTGACCGCCCGCTGCTCCCCTCAGCAGTGTACTTCGTCGATCTGCCTGTTCTGCTCCCCACTCTGTCTCTGGTGAAGTCTCTCGCTGCCCCTGCACCTCTGGCCTGTACCCCAGTTCTGTATGCATAAATAAATAAATCTTTTAAAAAAAAGTGTCATCACTGATGAAGGCTCCCATTGCTGGCTTTTTTTTTTTTTTTTAAGATTGATTTACTTATGCATACAAGCCAGAGGTGCGGGGTGGGAGGAGGGTTGAGAGGAGTCACCAGAGACAGAGTGGGGAACGGAACAGGCAAATTGACTGAAAATACACTGCTGAGGAGAGCAGCGGGCAAGAAAGGAGAAGTTGCTGCACCACGTGGTCACGTCCCTAGCTGGGGATGGACTCAGGATCACTATAGTGCTGCCATTAACCCGAGAGGGCCCTGCTAGCTTTTAACCAGTAGTCTCTTAATGTATTTTCATTATAAATTATTGTTTAGTCTGTGTGTGTGAATAGGCAGTATGTTCATGTCCTTCAACATCTAAAAGATAGACGAGTGGAGGAAGCCAGTTAGTCACTCTCGGGCAGGACTTAGGTGTAAACGGATCTCCAGTTTCTTCCCAGAGATGTCTACATTTACAACCACCCACAGCTTTTAAAAGCAAACATCCGTGTGTTCTGGTTTCCCTGGTGGTATCTTGCTTTTTTTGATAAACACTGTACCTTAGAGTTGCTTCATGTAAGTGCGTGAACTGCTTCATTCTTACTGCAGCTGCCTCCTGCCCCACTGTATGAGGAAGGCACCACCCCGCCAGTGGTAGACTTCCACTGGCACCAGCCATGCACTTTTCAGGGAGGAATCTCGACCCTGTCTCTTCTCCTACTCACTCACTGAGTTTTGAGCATGCCACTGAACCACTCTGAACTTCAGCTTCTTCATGTAAAACGGGGTAACTTCAGCGGCACACACATCACAGCCTTGGAGTGACGACAGGACATGAGCCTGGTTCAGAGTCTCCTGCACTAACAATCTTTCTGGAGATCCACAGACTCCCATCCGCGGTTGTACCGACTTACATACTCAAGGAGAGAAACTGTCATTTTCCCCACTGGCTTGGGCAACTTGGATTTGGGCCCAGTGTCATTTTAACTCACTTCTTTCCCAAGTCCCAGCAAGGCTGAGGATCTGGGGAGCAGGTGAAGCCCAGGTTGGTGTGGAAGCAAGGTTGGTGTGTAGGGGGGCCCCTGCCTGTGGAGGGCTGTTTCTGTAAACTACGGTCTTCCTGGTCGTGTACCTATGCCATAGTCAGGGAGGCGTGGAGAAACAGGACACACCTGGCCTCTGGCTTCTGTCTGCTTTCTATTGCGACACCTGTTTTTTTTTTTTTTTCTTTTTTGAAGAGGAGGAGGGCGTGTGTAAACACCAGCTTATTCTCCAGAATCAGGGTTCAATTTCTGAACTGTGTGGGAGGTACCTGCTAAGATCCCCCAACCCTTCATTACTTCCCCTACTTCCTTCCCTCTTACCCCTCAATATACCCACCCCGTTTCCTGGGTCCATGTCCGCCTTGAGCATTTCTGACGAGGAATTCCCTCCATCTGCATACATTGCTAGGTCCTTGGGTCCCAGCCTTCGTCAATCTACCTGAGCAATGGGACTGAATAAATCCTGCTGTTCTGATAATCAAAGGCGCTAGAGTACTTCCAGTTATCCGGCCAACTGGCTATCATCCTGGGCCCCGAGGGGAGGGAGGGAGGTCTGTGCCTGGGCTGAGCCAAGTGAGATTCAGGACAAAGGCATGCTAGTATTTACCTGAAATTCACATTTAACCAGACGCCCTGTTTTAGCTGGCAAATCTAGGTGGAGAACAGGGGTGGATAAGGGGGAAGAATGTCTTCCTTCTGGGTGGTGGGACCGAAGGGCCCCTACCCCCACCCTCCCCTCACAGAGGCACCCCAGGCCTGAGAGCAGCATGGGCGCCCTGTCCCCTTGCCCTTCAGTTCCACACTTGCCACACTGCCCTCTGGGAATTTTTCCTGGAACCTAGGGTCAGGTCCCTCCTCCCCCTTTCAGGCAGCACGGGTTTCCCCTTCTCTCCCAGACTCATTACTCATTAACTGAAAGGCAACCTTGACCTGGCTCCTTCCCTCCACCCGCCTTGCACACCCTCAGCAGAGGCCTGGGCACCAGGACCCCCCCCACCCCCAGAGGACGCAGGGCCCGAGGCTGGCTTCCAACCTCACTCCCATTCTGCGAAGGGTCATGCAGTCACAGCACTGCCTAGGCCTGCAGGGCAAAGCATCAGCACGCAGAGGTCTGGTGGCGGCTGAGCAAGGCGCGAGGCTCCCAGCCGGGAGGGCATTTTCGTCTTCTTCATCACCTGCTCTACTTCCCTCCAGCCTTGCTTGGACCCAGCCCCTGCCAGACTTCCCTTTCTCCATGTCCAGCACTCAGCGCCTCTGGGAGCCCTGCCAGGCTGTCCCTTCGCAGACCCCCTGCCTCCCTACTGCACACCCCGCACTTCCAGTCCAGTGCTCCTCGCCGCTGGGTCTGTTCCTTGTCCTCTGTGAAAAGATGCGTAATAGGTACCAGCTTTGACATTTCCATCAGCGAGAGACCCCACACACAACCGGGGGCCCCAGCAGGCTGCACCTTTGAGCCCAGGTGTGCGGTGGGCTGGGCCACCTGTCGAGGATGAAATGGCCTAACGCCTCTCCCTGAGCGTGCCCCTGCGCCGAGCCGCGTGCGCCTGCCCGCGAGCAGGTGCTCATGACAGGAGCCCTTTTAGGCTCAGTGGAGCATCTTGTCTTTTCATGTGTTTCCGTCATTCCCCAGGCCACAGGCACCGCGCCTCCTCATTTACAGGTCCACGACCCTCCAGCTGCTTCCGGCTGCTGCGGCTTGAGCCAGGCAGCAGGGCCCCACGTCATGCTCCTAAGGGATCTGTTTTCTGTGGTTGTCACAAATGACAAGCTCGGTTCAAAACACCTATTTATGCTCTTGCAGATCTGGGGGCGTATGTCTGAAATCGCGGTGGCTATGTTCCTTCTGGGGGCTCTAGGGGTGAAGATCCTCGCCTTTCCCCCCATCTGAGGACACCTGCCTTCCACGGCACTCTAACCTCCCCCTTCATCGTCTCCCTCACTGACTGACCACTCCCTTCCTCTTTAAGGACCCTCTGGTGACCTCCCCACCCCAAGATCCTTAACTTTATCACACCTACAAAGTGTAGTTTGCCCAGTTCTAGGGGCTGGGACAGATGTAAGGGTGTGAGAGCTACAGAAAGGGGGGTTCGGGTTCCCTTCACCACCCAAGGAAAGGCGGAGCCGAACAGGGGTCAGAAGCTGAAGACTGGGAAAAGGATGAGAGACAACCAAGGGAAGAAGTTAGACCTGGAGGAGAGCAGAGAGGGTGGGAAGCTGCACCTGCTTCTTGGTCTCGGACTTGCACCAGGGCCCTGGGGCACATGGGAGAGACACTGGAGAGAGACGTGGGCGAGGACCCGCGGGGAGGCCGACAGTGGCAGCCTTTAACTTGTCTTGGATTTTGATGTCCTCCTGGGCTGGCCTGGCCCCTCCGGCCCCTCCCTGCGGGTCCCCACCAGGACGTGCCTTAGGCCTGCGGCGGGCTGCCCAGCCGCGGTGGCCCTGCCTTGGGCCAACCCTGCATGGCCGGGCATTTATCCCCAAGGGGATGGGTAACTTTGGAGACTTATTTGGAAACTGTGTTTTCTTTCTATTGCACACTAACTGTGCTCAAGTTCTTTTCTACTGAAATGTTTTGTCTGTATGTAGCAAATGGCAGGACCCATTTAGAGCAGGTTTTGGGGTCCTGGGGTGCCCATCATTCTGCCCGCTGACACGTGGACATCTCTGGGGATGTCTGCTCACCATGGCAGCGTGAGAACAGCACGGACCCCTATGGCCATAGCCGCCGTTCTCTGCGTGGTACATGGGCCGGCACGGAGCCCGGCGCGTCTGCCTGCCTTCGGTGTTGTTTTTCTCACTTACTCTTGCCCAGCCAGCCCTGCACAGGGCCACTCTGGGCTCCTGCTTTGCTCCACTTCCTCAGCCTGCAACGCCTCCCACTTCCTTCTTCTTCCGGCTGTGCTATTTATTTGTCTGGGCCTGTCCCTACTTCTGCTTGCACGATGTGCTGACCCCAGCCCAGTTCCCTCCCGGGTCCTTGCCTGTGGCCCAGCAATGTTTTCCAGAGTGCCGGAGTAGGGCATGCTCCCTCCAGGTGAAATGTGGGGTGGGGCAAAAATGTGTCTTGGGAGTCTGCCCACAGGTGTGCCCACAAGCGTGTCTGCAACCTGAGGTCACCCCTCAAGGCTCAGGGCAGTCCGGGGAAGGCCAGGCTGCGTTGCCAGGCACTGTGCTGGGGTGGGCACCGTGGTCATGTGTGATACTCTGGTCTTATGGGGCCCCTACTTGACATGTGAAGGAAGTGAGGTCATCTTGCTTATCTAGGGCGAAGGGGGGCTAGGTTCGGCCCCAGGGAGTCCAGCCGCAGCAGGCCTGCTGCGGGCAGTGCTGTGTCCCAAGTCTCCTGCCAACCCACAGCTGTGTGACCTCGGGCAGGGCCCTCAGGCCCTCAGAGCTCCAGTTTCGTTTTTTCTAAACTAGCGCTTTAGAATGGGGCGTACCCGCGGCACCCTGGGGCTCTCAGCCACTCTTCAGCCTCAGCCTCCGCGGGCCTTCAGTTACCATTTCTATGCCATCCTCCCTTTGAGCACACACAGTTCCCTCAGCCCCTTCTCTGTCTCCTCCAGACTTCCCAGGCTGGGCCAGAGCCCTGTGTGCCCCAAATCGCTGCTGGGCGGCCCGGCTCCACGGCGAGCCTCTGAGGCCGGGACTGCGCAGGTCTAGGTCACTGCCCACACAGCTCCTGGCACAGGGCCCGCAGCCAGCAGTTTCTCCACTGACATTTACTAGACCTGCAGCACCTCCCTGGCAGTGAGTACAGGCTCCCAAACCGCAAACACCACCTGTCATACCCCAATTCCCAGAAAGGCAAGGAAACCAGGTAGCAAAACGGAGTGGTCATTATTGTACAGCTGGAGGCAGGGGAGGGCTGTGAGCAGGCCTGGGTGGGGGGGATGGGACTTCTGTCTTCTTCTGACTGGGCTCCAGGAACTCGGGGTTGGGCGTTAACCGCACATGGGCACCCACTGGCTCCCCACGCACTGAGGGAGAGGAGCTGAGTGTGGAGGGTGAGTGAGAAGAGGACAGAGGGGGATGCAGGGTGGGCCCAGGCGGGACGTGATCATAGCAGCTCCCGTCCTCTGGCTGTTTTGTTGACTTTGGACAGGCCTTCCCGGAACCCAGAATCAGTCATTCTAGAGGTGCAGAGTCAGGAGGCGGCCCAGTGGCTGAGGGGTGCTGGGCCCACCCGCTGGGCGTTAACCGCACATGGGCACCCACTGGTTCCCCACGCACTGAGGGAGAGGAGCTGAGTGTGGAGGGTGAGTGAGAAGAGGACAGAGGGGGACGCAGGGCGGGCCCAGGCGGGACGTGATCATAGCAGCTCCCGTCCACTGGCTGTTTTGTTGACTTTGGACAGGCCTTCCCGGAACCCAGAATCAGTCATTCTAGAGGTGCAGAGTCAGGAGGCGGCCCAGTGGCTGAGGGGTGCTGGGCCCACCCCCTGGCTGCCCAGGCCCCCCAGCCCGGCCCGGGACTCACACTTGCTCCATCTGCACATCCTCCTCGTCCTCCTGGGGCAGCTGCAAGTACGGGTTGTCCCCTGCGGGCTGGAACTTGTAGCCGGTGAGCACGAAGAAGGCCAGCGTGGAGCCTTCCACCAAGAGCTGGGGGGAGGGGCAGACAGGAGCGTCAACACACTGCACCCCACCTCCCGGGCCGGCCACCTCTCACCCCACCTGGGGTCCCTCTCACCTGGCACAGCCACTGCCACTGGAAGGGCACGGCCACACGCAGGAGGATGGCGATGATGCGCGTGAAGTAGACGTAGCAGATGACCTGCGAGGGCGGAGGGCCCACTGGCTGCAGGGAGTGCCCAGCGGGGGCCAGACCCTGGGCCAGAGGGCGCGCCGGAGACAGCAGGTGCGGCTGTGCCTGGGGCTGACTGTCCCCCACCCCGGGCAAAGCTCCCGTCATGTGTGAGAACCGGGTTCCTACCATGACGTAGTAGTGCCTGAACAGCTTCAGCTTGGCCAGATTCACTGCCACTAGGGGTGGAGACAGACAATGAGGAGCAGGGCAGCAGGAGGGAGGGGTGAGGAGGGCTGGGGGCAGAAAGGACACTGTGTCCAGGAGGCAGGGAGTCGGAGACGGGGGGCGGAGGGGTGAGGGGCAGCCAGGGGAGGACGGACAGGGGCGTCTGAGGATGAGGGCGAACGGAGGTGCCTGAGGAGACAGAGGCTGCGTGGAGGTCCCCGGGGGGCCAGCTGCCCAGGACCTTACCTTTCCCGTCGGTGCCCGATGCGTCCTGGAGATGCCGGATGGACCTGCAGGGGGTGGGGGACACCGCGCAGTCAGCACTGCGCAGTCAGCACCGCCCGCTCACGGGGTGGTGGGGTGCAGGGCCAGGCTCCTCACCAGACCACCGGGAAGAGGATGGCGCCGCAGCAGACTAGATCCACCAGGAAGAGGATCTCCTTCCAGAGCATGTAGTCGCTGGCGCCCTCCTCGCGGGACTCGATGACGATGTAGGCCACGTTGGCCAGCACCTGCGGAGAGGGCAGTGGGGCAGTGCCACGCGTGACGCGTTCCCACACCCCAGGGACCCCGTACGCACCTGCAGTGGGATCACGATGCCGAAGATCTTCTTCTCCTTATCTGACAGCACGTACTTGACAAATGCCCAGCCGGAGCCGATCAGGGCGATGGTGATGAAGAGGAGCGCACCCTTCAGCCTGGAGGAGGGGTCTGTTGAGACGGGGGAGCCATCTCCTGGCCTGCCTGCCCACCACCTGCCCAGAGAGAAGGGCACTCACAGGTGTGTGATGTAGTGCATGACGGCGAGGCCTTCGATGGGGTGACCCTGGCTGTTGATGAAGTAGTAGTTGATCTAGAGGTGGACAGATGGATGGTCAGGAAGATGGGCGGTGGGCAGGGTGGTTTAGGACACATGCTGGTCAGCTGAAGGGTGGGTGGCCTCAGAAATGGACAGTGAGGGCCAACAATGGCTGCACTGAGCAGCAGCGGAGGAGGAAAGGTCAAGTGGGATAGGTGGACAGGGAGACCGTCACCAGGAGGCGGCGAGTCACAGCTGGGAAGAGGACAAGCAGACACCAAGTGGGTGGGCGGCCAGCCGCACAATAAAATGGGTGAAGGGAGGTCGCGGGACAGATGGAACACCTGAGGTCTGGGTGTGCCAACATTTGGGGAGTGGCACGTGCCGGCTTCTGTGACCCAGCCTGCCCCCTCCTGCTCCCTGGCCCAAGGCTCTCACACTGTGGAAAAGCAGGGAGATGCTCTTGGTGAAGGCCAGGGCCGCCATGAGCCAGTGGATCTTGAAGACACTGTGCCTGGAGGTGGGGTGGGAGGCGGTGTTAGAGACAGGTGGTGGAGAGGAGCCTAAGTCAGGGGCATGAAAAGGGCAGGCCTGATGGGCTGGATGGGGTCCCTGGGGGCAAGGGTATTACGTGTTCCTGCAGAGCACGGACACCCAGAAGAGGCCGGCGGCCAGGAAGCAGGCAGACATGACCATGTAGAGCTTGAAAAGGGGGATTTCCGCGGCAGACAGAAAGCCCTCGGGGTTCTTTTCCCGAATTGTCACCTGGAAAGGGGGCAGTGGGGGTGACAGGGCTTGCACAGAGGCCCTGGACCGGCAGTGCCGTTAGTGTCTCCAGCTGAGCGATGCTGGGCGTCAGCCTCCCAACGGGCACCCAGCTTTCTCTGCACCGTGTGGCCGCAGGGAGGTCTGAAGAAGCACAGGATGTGCCCGGATGCGCCTGCACGGGCAGATGCGGGCCCACCGAGCACCTAGTCTGCAGTTAGTCCTGTCGGCTCTCCCCTCTACTCACTGTGATGTCGAACGGCTGCTCCTGCCCCGGCACTGAGTTGTAGCAGTTGTGGAAGTTGAGGTTGTACTGGCCTTCCTCATCCCTAGAGCCAATCACCACGTGGAACTGGGCAGGGGAGAGGAGAGGAGGCCTTAGCTGGGGCGGGGAGGGGGCTCTGGTTCTGGGGAGGGGTGGCCTGCGGGCACACAGACACTCACACTGAAGTTGTAGGAGTTGTTGAGGTGGCTCAGGCCCAACACCAGCTCCTTATCTTCCCCACTGGAGCCCTGCGGGGACAGACACCTCTCCAGCATCAGTCAGCCGGGGCTGGGCTCCTCCCTTCCACCTGGCTGCCCCAAACCTGCTGGTCTCTTTGAGGCACTGTGGGCTTTGACTTGGCCTTGCTGGGATCCATGGTGGTCCCTGTGGGGGACAAGAGAACGAGTTTAGAGGTAGACAGACAGCAGAATACTGGGGGTGGGGGTGTAAAGCCACCCTGCCCTAGCCGCCCCTCAGCCTGCCTGACTTACCACTGTCCACCCTAGCGGTGACTGTGTGTGCTGCCTTCGGGAGCTCTGCTTCAGAGGGTGTTTCAGGGAGGAGCCCGGGAAAGATAAACAGCTTCTTCTGTGCCCCATACTTTCGTACCTGGACTCTGTGGTAAGGGCGGGAAGGGGAATGAGCCCCGGAAGCTGACTGGGTCAGGGATGCAGCTTGTGCTGATGGGTTCAAGAACCCACGGGGCCCTCTGGGTCTCCTCTCTGGGGCTGGTGTTCGGAATCAGAGGTCACAAAATTCCAGTGTTCAGCCACCACCCATCAAGACAGCTGCTTACACCGCCATGATCCTTCCCCATGAGACTGACTCACTCTAATTCAGCACATTATTTTATAGAAGACATTTATTTATTTAAAAAGAAAACACTGCATAGACAGAGGAGCAACACGCTATCATTGAGCCTGGGTGTGGAACTGCCTGGCTCCAAATACTAGTCCTGGGGTCGCCCCTTCGTCATCTGAACGAGGAGACTAAGCACAAGTAATCTGTAAGTTCCCACCCTGTGGTGCCTGCAGGACTCAACGGCAGCATTCGCGTGTGAAGGACTCCTGCCTCTGTCTCTGGGTCTTGTGCACCGAGACCACAATGGTCCCATGCACCCCTCCCTCCTGCCTTCTCCCTGAGTCTGGTGATCAAATAAGGTCTGAACATGAGATTGAGCATCAAGTGGCTCCTTCCTACTGGCATCCGAGTTGTTTCCAGCTGACTTCTCCTTCTGCCTCCTCGGCTCAGGTGGTTATCACACCCAGGGAAACACAAATGGCGGCTCGCTAGGTCCCCCTGGCTCCCCAACTCACCGAAGATCTTTGGTGTCAATGAGGAAGAGAACCAGGAGGTTGCTACTATTTTTATGGAGTGGACAGTCAAGGGGGTCCCGGGTCTGAGGAGTGGTAAGAGGGAGTCTTGGTTACTGCCACCCACTGGTCCAGCCCCACCCTACCTCCTCCCCACCCACCCAGCAAGGGGTGTCTCTTCCTGCTCCTTGTTCTGGGAAAGAACCGGAGCCTTTGGGTTCCTGATGCAGAAGACGCACGTTCCCTCGCACGTTCCCTCCTTCCCACAGCCCCGGGCCCTTCACGCCCCCACCCATTACTCTCACTCACCGAATAGGATCTAATGCTGCCAGATCGAACTCGGGTCAGACTGAACCCCACCTGGCAGGTGGAAAGGAAAGGGGACAATGGGAGGGATCCAGCAGGGAATCCCTAAGCCATTTCTGGGTGCAACGGAAACATGGCCTTTCATTTACTGAACTTACTACGCACTTAATCCCACCTTCACTCACTGAATTTTCCAATGAACCACCTTGCCCTCCTCAGTCCTATTCCTTTATCTGCTAGCCAGCCAGTGCCACTCAACCTGGACGTCACTTCCTCAGGGAGCTCTTTGCTGGTCTTCTGGATCTAGCCCACCCTGTCTTCCTCCCCACCAGCCCCATTTAAAATGACCACGGCTCCCAGCTTTGCACTCTAGAATCCAGCACCCTTGGGCTTGCATCCCGGCTCTGTGACTGTGAGCAAACACCGTGTGTCCCTGAGCCTGTGTGCCAAACCTGTAAACTTGGGTTTATGCAGGTCACATTTTCACAGCATCTCTGAGAGGTGATTAGGAGGAAACTGACTCATGGAAACTGCTTTGCATAGTACCGAGCGCCAAGTGGCTGTTGAGTAAATGCTAGCTGCTCATTTCCACTGTAGGAGCAGGGCTGCCGTGTTCTGGCATGCGCTCCAGTGAAGTTTGAGCTCAGTGCCCAGCGCTCAGTGCCCAGCCCACAATGCATGACAGGGGGTGCGGTATTATCTCCTGTTACAGACGTGGGAATAGATTTGCCCAACATCACGTGAGTTCCAGGCAGAATTAGGATGTGAAGCTAGAACCTGGGGCTTCCTGAAGTAGGCACCTCTACTTCCTCCAGCACATTCCCCAAAGTCACTCACCAGCGGGGTCTTTTCTCCCTTCTGGAGGCCCAGTCGCAGGAGGCTCAGGTCCACCTCCAGGAAGCCATTGGTGTAGAAGCCGAAGCTGTTCAGCTGGATGTCCGCGCGCTTCTCCCCCTGTCCGGAGACCAACGAGGCCAAGGAAGCTCAGACTTCTTCCCACCACGCCAGGCCCAGGGTCCTGCCTGACCAGAGGTTCCCCCAAAGGCTTCAGCATCCTGCCGGCACACTTTTTTTTTTTTTTTTTAAAGAACCGGTCCAAATGCAGACTGGAGAGGCTCAGCGGGTCTGCCTGGAGCCCAGACCCACACCAACTCCAGGGAGGGTGGCTCCGGGTCCTCAGGCTACTGCTGAGTCCAAGAAGTGAAAGCCTGGGCATCCCACGGGGTGACAGCCACCCTACAAGCAGTTACTCAATGCGGTGTGCCTGGCCCTCAAGTCTCAAAAAATGTTTAGATTCCAACTGATTATGTTGGGATTTCAACTGAGCGCCCAGGGTCCCAATGAGCCCAAAGGACCCCATTCTGGAGCTTAAAGAGGCGCCCCTTAGTGGCGCGGAGGGTCCCTACCGCCCCAAGAATTTAAAGCTTTAGAAGTTGGGGGGCGGGGGGGGGTCCCAGGAGCGACGCCCCGCCTCTGATGGGCGTGGCATGGCCGCAGCTTGGCCGAGACCGTAACTCCACCAGGAGGACAAGAGGGGGATTCTCGGACGAGACCACTCCGGTCAGGAAGCGGGGTGCGCCGGACCGCTCCATCCCGCGTCAGGAGCGGGGGAGGTAGGACGAGACCACTCCAAGCCAGGGGCTGCTCCGCGACAAAGCTGCGCCCCCTGCCCCAGGCTGCCGCACGGCAGACTCACCGTCAGCGCCAGCCGGTGGATGCGCCCCGAGCAACTGTCCAGCAGCAGTAGTAGAAGGAGCCCCTGGCCCCACTCCCCGGGTCTCCCGCGGTCGAGCCCCCTCCTCTCGCTCACTGCCATCTCTGGAGCCACCGCCTCCCCAGACACCGCCTCTGACGGCCCCGGGCCCGCCTACCAGGGAGCCAATGGCCGCGCTGTGGGGACCGGGTCTATCACTTTTCCAGTGCATCCAGCCAATCAACGATCACCTCTTCTCAAACCCATCCCCGCGCGACACCAAATGGACAGCATCCACTTCGAATGGGAGTGCTGATAACATCTAATCCCGCCTCCAATCCAACCAATCACTGGGAAGATCGTTCCCGGATGTAATTTGATTTACAGTCCATCTAACCAATTGTGATGGAGCTGGTATCCGGCTCCAGAAGCGCAATTCCTCCATCCACTGTAACTGACGGACTGGTCCAGGACTATATTACCCAGAATGCAGCGGAAGCACACAAGCACAACAAATCACCATAAAACTACATTTCCCAGTGTCCCCTATAGACGGATTTAGCCGTTTTTTTTTTTTTTACCCCAGAGATGTGGCTCCCAGCCAGAGCTCAAACTTTTAGTAAACAGTTTCATCTGCTGAGGGCCTGTCCTGTTCTCCTAAGCTTCCTGATCCAGCGGGGGCCTAGACCTGGCCTCAGGCTAAATCTTGACTCTAGGAAGACTTGTAATCCTGGCTGAGACTTCAGCCTTAGGTGGAGTCTCAGAATGAGGCAACTGGAGGTCGGGGGCCCCGATCGGCCTGACTTGACGATGGATAGAACCATAACCCCAGGCTGAGCCGAAACTCGAAGTCCCCCATCTCTGTGGCCCTCGACCGACACTGATCTCTGGATGAGCTGCCACCCTCTCCGCCGCATCCTCGGACTGAGCCCTGACTGAGGGGTCAGGCTAGGGCTGATCTCTGGAACCTAGTTTGAGTCTCAGATACCCAACTGGCTTGCTGACCCCTCTCTCTGCTAAGCCTCTGAACGGATCCTGAAACCCCGTCCTAACTGTGGCGCTGACCTGGGATAAATTCCAGTTTCATTTTGAGTTTGAGACGGGGTCGGACTCTAATCCCAGGCTAAATCACTGAGTCCAGACCCCAGGCTGAACGCCCTATCTGATCCTTCAACCTCTGGAGCAGAGCCCACTTGAGCTTTCCTAGATCAGAAGTCACCAGCAGGTGGGGCCAGGTTCCTGCAGAGCGGCGTGTCCCGGTAGAGCCTTCAATCTCAGTGTGCGCTCCTGGAGAGTGTACAGAGCCAGGGGGACTCAGAGCCTGACCAGCTCTTGGCGGGGTGGGAAGGGGGGGGCGGAGCCGGTAGCTCCTGACCCACAAGGCGTCTGTCACCTCTGCAGCCAGCGAGAAAACACCGAAGGCGGGAGAGGAGGAGGGTGGGATCCCCTGGGATCTCTCCGCTTTCATCCCAGTGCCTCAAAGGGATTAACAAGGTGTGAAAGACTTTTATGAAGGTAGTGACAGACTTCTTAGCCCCAAGGCCCTAGTGTCTGAGGGAGGGGCGGACTCTGAAATCCAGGGGCCTTACAGAGAGTAAACTTTACTGGGCCTTCATGAATGCCACAGGAAAATGGGCAGGTGCTAGCGCGATTTGGACAGCAGCCGGGAAAGGTCTGGGCCCAGAGCCCCAAGGACAGCTTGTCCTCAGTTTCCCGGCGCAGCCTTTTGGGGGAGGGAAGGCAGGATGCGGTGGGGGCGCTAATGGACCCGGCCTTGGCGGAGGCACGTCTTGAGCAGGATCGAAGTCCTCCCATCCGCCCTGTGGCCGGAGGGATCAGACCATTAGTGGGACGAACGTAGACATCTGGAGCCGGGCCGGCCCGCAAGAGCAGGGTGACCTCAGGTTCTCCCTGCAACGGGGTGCAGGAAAGACCTTTTGTGTTGAGGTTTTAGTGTCTTGGCCCTTTAAGTAATGGTCGAGGGAAAGAGAAAAGGTAGAACAGTCTGAGGCGGAGCCGGGGTGGGGCTGGGGTGGGGGACGATTAGAGGGGCCTGGAGATTTGGAGAGGGGGTGGAGGTCCTTTAAGGGGTCGGTCCAGTGGCGTCGGTGGCTAGGTTCTTAAGAGGGGCGGGGCCTCCCCTGGTGTCCGCCTCCCAGCGCCCCGCCTAGGATGCTGTGCCTGGTCAGTGTACGGGGGCGTGGCTGGACGGGTAGGCGGGGCCGTGGCGGGGCGGGGCCGTGGCGGGGCGGGGCCGGGCGCACAGTCCAGAGCTGAATCTCCCGACGGCGGGTGGCGGGCTGCGGGCGGCGGGGGCCGGGCGCGGCGTCGGCGGGAGAATGGATTGGGGCACTGAACTGTGGGTGAGTCTGATCGGCCCGACCTCACGTCCACCCTTCCTGAGGTCCAGATCTACCCTCACTCTGCGCCTGCATACCTTCGCCCGCACTCCGCGCTTTCCCTCCCACCGACCCTTGGCGTCCTCCCTCTCTGCCCACTCTCGGAGTTTCCCCCAAGGCTGAAATGGACGCCCGGGGCGAAGGGAGACCTTGCCGGAGCGGTGTAGGGAAACTGAGGCAAGGGTGCAGAGTGAGGAAGCCAGAAGTCCTGGGACCAGGCCTGGCGGCTGGGCGAGGTCACCTATTTTGAGCGTCCTGGCTGGGCCGCCGGCTTATCTTACGGCCCCTGGGTCCCTGCCCGCCGCCCGCCTGTCGGACTGGGGCGGGGGAGGGGACCCTTTGGCCACTTTCAATCCCACGTGGGACCCAGAAGTCATGATCGCCCTTTCCATCTCCTTTAGTCCATATTTAGGGGCTTAGGACGCCCTAGGGGAGAAAGGGCTCTGAGGTTTGGCCCTGGCTTCCTCCAGCTTGCCCCAGGCACTGGGAAGGGCGGCCCCTAGACCGCTCTGGAAGCCCCACAAAAATTTCCCCTTCTCCTAGCCTGAATCTCTAATCCCTCCTTTTTCTGGGGGCGGTGGCATCACTGGGCTCCTGGGTGCAGCGGGGTGATCGCGCCCCTCAACTCTGGGAGTTTTTTCAGCGGTGCAGTGGAGTCAGTAGGGGTGAAATTGAATCACCCCTTTGGGAAGCATGGCAATCGGCAATCGGGGAACTTGGTGCCTGCCTCCTGGCAGTTGTGGGGGCCCCGAAGCTGCGGGGAAACTTGCCTCTTTGGCCCTGACTCACGCCGGGCCGGCCGGATTTTCCGGAATCTGGGGGGGATTAGGGGAGCCGGAGCAGGGGGAGTGGCCCTACCCCTTCCACTCCCCTCCTGGCGGTCTGCATTCGAGGACCCTGTCGTCCGGCTGGGGCCCCGCCCCTGCTGCTTGGCCCTTCCCGGGAAGGGGAGGGGGTTCCCGCGGGTTTCCTGCCCCCCTCCCTTGCGCCGCGCCCGGGAGGGGTCGGGAAGCCACTCCTCTTTGGGAGTTCCGAGCCTGCAGGCGCCCGTGTCGCTAGTCGGCCGGCTGTAGGATCCCTAGGTCTTGACCCCAGCACCCTCCTCCCCTCCCGCCCTCGCCAGGACCAGTTTGAGGTGCTCGAGAGGCACACGCAGTGGGGGTTGGACCTGTTGGACAGATACGTGAAATTCGTGAAAGAGCGGACTGAGGTGGAGCAAACTTATGCAAAACAGCTGAGGTGAGACCTTGGGCTAGCCTCGCTCTAGGCCTTGGAGGAGCCCTGGAAGGCTCTGGAGGGCTCCGGACTCAGCCCTCCTGCCTCTCTGTCCCCTTTAGGAACCTGGTGAAAAAATACCTGCCCAAGAGACCTGCCAAAGATGACCCTGAATCCAAGTAAGGATGGACAGGGATTTGGGGGGCAGGGGCAATGGGTCCTACTTCCTCTCCCTCAACTGGGTCACCCAGGCAGGTCCCTTACTTCTCATTTCAATTCCTACCTGGGAGTAAGAGCATAGATGCAGGATCCTAAGTCCACTACTTTCTGGAAGAGCTGCTTTAGGACAATTAACTTCAAATCCGTGCCTCCATTTCCTTGCTCATTACAAAGGGAGGCTGGAGCTGGAGTTATTAAATGAGTGAAATAATTGTGGGCAAATGACTTAAGTTTTGTGCCTCTGTTTTCCTCTCTGTGAAATGGGAATGGTGGTGATGACTGTTGGACTCACGTGAAGACCAGCCAGGCTAATGTATTAAAACAGTGCCCGGGTTGCATTAAGTGCCATTAGAGCATTTTTACTGAAAAGCATGCTGGCTTTTCAGTTGCAGAATCCAAAAAGCTCTGAAAATCAAGTTATTGGGTAACTTGTTTGACAGCAACTTCTGACAAATGAACTGATTTGATGTTACTTTTGGCCTTGGTTTTTGTCCAACTTAATGTGCATAGACGTTTAACTGCAAATGTATCTATGGTATTTGGTCACAGGATGCCACCCATGACCCTATCAGGGTACACTGTGTAAATGATGGTATAAGCATCGTCTCTCCTTTCTAATGCCCCCAAAATTCTGGTTCTGAACTGTATCACATTCAAGTATCAGGAATCAGTGATTTAGATCAGAATTTATGGTTGCTTTGGGGTGAACCCTTCCTTGGGTCTAACCCTTTCTCATATGCAGGTAGGTCTTGGGGCATCTGGCTTCTGGGGGCCCTGTCCCTCAGCTCCCTTCTTGCTATCCTGCCACAGGTTCAGCCAGCAACAGTCCTTTGTGCAGATTCTTCAAGAGGTAAATGACTTTGCCGGCCAGCGAGAGCTGGTGGCTGAGAATCTCGGTGTCCGTGTGTGTCTCGAACTGTCCAAGTACTCGCAGGAGATGAAACAGGAGAGAAAGATGGTGAGTCTCCTCCCTGAGACTTCCCAAGGGCACCTGCCACGAGCCAGGGGAATCATGGTGCTTTCCTTTTCACAGCATTTCCAAGAAGGCCGTCGTGCCCAGCAGCAGCTGGAAAATGGCTTCAAGCAGCTGGAGAATGTGAGTTTGTGGGTGTGGAGAGTGGCTCTGACCCCAAGGAACAGGGGGAGGGTGGCTGGCCCCTGAACTGCCCACTTCTCTGGCCTGGACTCCCCTTTCCCCTGTGCCCCCCCCCCTTTTTGCTGGGGGACTTCCTGCCAGCCCTGTTACTTCGGGGATGCTGACTCCTTTCTGATTCCCTGCACAGAGTAAACGTAAGTTTGAGCGAGACTGCCGGGAGGCGGAGAAGGCAGCCCAGACTGCTGAGCGGCTGGACCAGGATATCAACGCCACCAAGGCTGATGTGGAAAAGGTGTTTGTGAGGTCTGGGGCAGGCCGAGCGAGGGTCAGGGTGGGATGGGGCCAGCACCTGGCAGCAGCGCGCCTTCCTGCCCGCAGGCCAAGCAGCAAGCCCACCTTCGGAGTCACATGGCGGAAGAAAGCAAAAACGAGTACGCAGCCCAGTTACAGCGCTTCAACAGAGACCAGGCCCACTTCTACTTTTCCCAGATGCCCCAGATATTTGATGTGAGTACTCAGGTCCCCGGCTACACCTGCCCCCGACATCTCCCCAGTCAACCGTCCCGTTCGTCAAAGCCCCAGCTGCAGTGCCCCAGTCTCTAAATTGAAAGGGAATTAGGAACAAATAGTAACAGTGAGCCCTGCCTCCAGTTACAAGCCTTCTTTTTTGGTTCCCTATTGAAACTCTTAATTCATTTTTCTAAACCCCAGCTCTAATAGCTCTTCTGAAAGGTCTTGAGTTTCCCCTCTTCTGTTTCGGCCTCTCGCCCTACTCTGCTCTAGCCCCAGAACTTGCATTGTCTGTGCTGGGTCTTCTTTTCTCCCAAACCCTGGCTCCCCAGGCAAGGGTGGCTCCTCAAGTGTGCAAGTCTGAGTTTCCCAGGCCCCAGTTTCTTCCCTGAATACATTGGTCTGGAAATCTCTGTTGGATTCTGTGTTTTCCCCACCAGACGGCTTGGGGCTGGGGCCAGTGTGGATCCCCATCATGTATGTGGAGTGAGTCACTCTGCTGTTGGTCCCTCCACCAGCACCCCTGAGTCTTGCCCGCCCCTGCCCCCGCAGAAGCTGCAGGACATGGATGAGCGCCGGACCACCCACCTGGGCACTGGTTATGGGCTCCTGTCGGAAGCTGAGCTGCAGGTGGTGCCCATCATTGGCAAGTGCTTTGAGGGCATGAAGGTGGCTGCTGAAGCGGTGGACGCCAAGAACGTGGGTGCTTGGTCCAGGCTGGTGGGTGTGGGTGGGGGGACAGAAGGAAGACCCCCAAATTAGACACCTAGCCTTGCCCCTAATGACCTCCTCGCCCTCTCCTCCCCCCCCCCGCCCCCAGGACTCCCAGGTCCTAATAGAACTGCACAAGTCCGGCTTTGCCCGTCCGGGAGATGTGGAATTTGAAGACTTCAGCCAGCCCATGAATCGAGCACCCTCAGACAGCAGCTTGGGTGCCCCTGCAGAAGGACGTACCCCGGGCCGCAGCCGTGCCAAGCGCTGGCCCTTTGGCAAGAAGAACAAGGTGGGGACCGGGGCCCTTGGGGAGGGTGGTGGGTGTGAGTGGGGACAGCAGGGGGGCCCCACTGAGTCAGCCCCAGCCGCTGGAACGCTGAGTCCCGGGCAGGAATTTTCCTCTTGGCTGCCGGCCCGGGCTGGAGGGAAGGAAGACGGGCGGGCTATTGGCCTGGGAGTCCCTGGAGGCTGAGGAGGGGCAGGGAGGGGGGCCTGTGGCGTCTGTCTGCTGCTTCTCAGGATGCTGGGAGAAGACCTGCTTCTGGAGCTCTGGGCTGGGTGGTGGCTTGGGACACTGGCCTGAGGGACGCCTCCAGTCTCCTTCTGTCCCACCAGTGGATCTGACTCTTGTCTTAGGTTTTAGGCTTTCAGTGTCCAGCATGTACCTGGACACTCCTGGGTTATATCTTAGACAACCACCCTCCCCTGCTTTGTATCTTTGATCCTTCATGACTGAGTCTTCGATAATCCTTGACATTGGCTACATGCAGTCCCCGGCTGTAAGCCCTCTGGCAGTTCCCTGCCACGGACCCCTCTCAGCGAGCCCTTTTCACCTGTCCGGCCCCATGTACCTGTCTGAGAGCTTGATTTGTGCATGCATCTTCCACCTTCTAGACTGTGAGCCCTGAAAGCTGGGTAGACAGACCCATGGCCATGCCAAGGTCCCATGCTCGTCGCTGGATGTAGGCTACAAGGGACGCAAGGGTCTGGGGCTAGGGAGAGGCGTGGCTTTCTGGCTCACAGTCTAAAGCCCTCCCCTCCGCCTCCCATATTTGTGTGTTGCTCTTGCATGCGTTTTCTGTGTGTGATCGTGAGTCTTGAGTTGTGGTTTTCTTACCATTTTTTTTCTTTTCTCTATTTTGTTTTTCCTTTTTTCTTTATTGTGTCTGTTCATCTGTCCGTCCTTGTTTTCTACATCCTCCCCACTCCCTCTCCTGGCCCATCCCTCCCGGCCCCCGCCGGTAGCTACGCCCCCCTCCCTTCTCCCCCCTGGGGGGTCCCCTGCCCTCGGTATTACCTAATGGACCCCCATCCCCCCGATCCGGCCTCGACCCCTTGGCCATACTGAGTGAGATCAGTAAGTCGGTCAAACCGCGGCTAGCATCCTTCCGCAGCCTTCGCGGCAGCCGTGGGGTAAGTGAGGCCTCGCTCAGGGAGGTGGAGGGGGTGACCCCAGCCCCACCTCGGCTGGGTGGCAGGACCCCGGGCTCGCTTCCTGCCGCTAGCTGGGCCTCCTCCTTCCCTCGCCCTACCCAGACCTGCTTTGCTCTGTGCATGGCCTTGCGTTCCAGGAATTTGGGTGGGGAGGAAGGTGGACTTGGAGTTTTTAGGAGTATCTTAGAGCCTTCAGGAGTGGACTAGGGAGCTCAGACTCCACGATCTCAAACTCAGCCCTCCTCCTGCCCTATAGACAGTGGTGACTGAAGATTTCAGCCACTTGCCCCCAGAGCAGCAGAGAAAGCGGCTTCAACAGCAACTAGAGGAGCGAAACCGTGAACTACAGAAGGAGGTCGACCAGAGGTGAGGTGTGGGAGAGGGCGGCCGACAAGGACCAAAACAAAATAATACATGAATTACATTGAAGTGGTCCTGAAAGATCCCCTCCCCGACATACCGGGGCCGGTGGCTTTATAGGTGACTGCCGTCACACTTAGAAGACATGGTCACTCCTAGCTCATGCAGGTCACTAGCAAAGAGCGAAGGCTGCCCAGCTCATTTAAGAGGCTGGTAGAATCTTGATTCCCAAGTCAGTTAGCAAGAATTCAAGAAAATACAATTACAGGATCAGTTTGCTCTGCTCATGAACTGAGATGCAAATCTAATGAGGTAATTAAAAAATAATACACCCAGCAGTGGTGACCGGATGATGGAAATGTACCTAATACTACTCAACGGTGCACTATACATGGTCCAACTGGGAATTTTATACTATGGATATTTCACTGATATAAAAAAGTTACTTTTTTAAAAAAAGCTAAAAAAGTCGTCCTTCATTTGTTGTTATTCCAGTAATGCAAAGATGGTTCAATATTAGAAAGCTATTGATGGTGTCAGTCACCATTTTCATTGGCTCAAAGAAAAAAAAGCAGATTTTATCCATGTAGTAATTCAAATCCTTAAAATATTAACTGCCAGATTAAAAAAAAAAGAACTTTTACTCTTCCAGGCAACAAAATCCTCTTCCCAGTTTTCTTACATAATCGGAGTGACGTTTGCTACTCACCGACTAGCAGCCAAATTATATTCTGCTGTTTGCATAGAACGTCTTGTACAAAACCGCTTGTATTGGTGTAAAATTCCATCTAGAACTCCACAGTTGCTGAGTTTTACGGGGCAGGAGTAAGGTTGGTTGCATACTCTGGAATGAGATAGATGGAGATTGAATTCCAGCTGCTTTGCTCTCTGAGCCTCAGTTTCCTCACTTTATGGCACCCAGTTGGTATTCGGACTAGAAAGAAATTGAACCCATTTTCAGTTTACTGCCTGTACACAAATGACCCTGAAACAAAATGGGGTTGTAGTGCCTGTTTGTGATAGCTGAAAATTTGGATATTAACATTTAGCTCTCCCCCAAACTAATTAGACTTGTCTCTTGACTTCAGATCCCCATGGACAGTCAATCTAAGAAGGCTCAAGTTCTTTTTAATCAGCTCTCTCTATCCAAGGGTTCTGCATTGACTGAACTTATGAATACAGAATCTGACTGTGGATGGAGTCCATGGATGGAAAAAAAAATGATAAAATCAGATAAATGACCCCAAGCAGTTCAAATCTGTGTTCTAGAGCCAACTATACACCCATGAATGAAAGGAAGGAAGAGCAAGGCCAAGTGGCAGAGTGCAAACTGTAGTCTAAACTCTGCATGGCCTCGTTGGAATCCCCAAGCTTTCCTGGGAGACCGAGAGCGAAGCTGGATCTTGACTTTCTGGTTAAGGGCTGAGTTTGTGGTTCCTGACACAGTGCTATTGTGTTGTATGTAGCAGGTGCTTATTACGTACCTGAATACATATACCAGGCACTGTCCTAACCGTCACAGCAAGTCGTGGGAGATGGGGGTATTGTTAGCTCCTTTTTCAAGACAACCAATGTAAGGCAGAGGTTCAGTTACTTAACCAGACCCATATGCTAGGAAATGGCCAAACTGGGATTCGAACCGACAGTAAAACACATTTGGGCTCTTAACCACTGTCTCGTCTTTGTTCCTCTTGCTCCTTGAAGCCAAGAGTGTGTTTTTTTGCTTGTTAAATCATGTGGGACTCTTTTTTCTCATTTGTCTGCCTCACCCAAGGGAAGCCCTGAAGAAAATGAAGGATGTGTATGAGAAGACCCCCCAGATGGGGGACCCTGCCAGCTTGGAACCCAGAATCACAGAGACCCTGAACAACATAGAGCGGCTTAAATTGGAAGTACAGAAGTATGAGGTCAGGGAGCACCCTGGGGAGGGGCGGGGTCCAGCGGGTCAGGCTGAGTCACTGCCTGGCCGGGTGGGGGTGGGGAGGTGTGTGTGTGGGGGGGCTCCAGCTGTTTCTCATCATAGCCTTGGGTGTGCATGGGTCATCTCAGGAAACCTCTGGGCTCAGTGGGCCGACCCCAGAGCTCTGCCCTGGAATTGATCATGTGTTCCCCTTCTTTTAGACTTGGCTGGCAGAAGCTGAGAGCCGGGTCCTGAGCAACCGGGGTGATAGCCTGGTGCGGCACACCCGGCCCCCAGACCCCCCAGCCAGTGCCCCACCGGACAGTAGCAGCAGCAGCAACAGTGGGTCGCAGGACAACAAGGACAGGTGAGTAGGGAGGTGAGTGTGGGTCTGGCCCCTGGGGACCTGCCCTCACTGATTTTACTCTCCCCAACTGTTAGCTCTGAAGAGCCCCCCTCAGAGGAGAGCCAGGATGCCCCCATTTACACAGAGTTCGATGAAGATTTTGAGGAGGAACCCACATCGCCCATAGGTCACTGTGTGGCCATCTACCACTTTGAAGGTAAATCCAGCTTGGGCGCCACATTGGTGGCTTGGGTGGGTGGGGGGCGGCCTTCTGGGTGGGGGCTGTGTTCTGTTTAAGTGCCATCAAAGCAGACCCGAGCCTGCCCCACGCCCACGACAGGGTCCAGTGAGGGCACCATCTCCATGTCGGAGGGCGAAGACCTCAGCCTCATGGAAGAGGACAAAGGTGACGGCTGGACCCGCGTCAGGCGGAAGCAGGGCGGCGAGGGTTACGTGCCCACTTCCTATCTCCGCGTCACACTCAACTGAACCCTGCCAGAGGCGGGAAGAGGGGCTGTCGACTGCTGCTTCTGGGCCACGGGGGGCCCCCAGGACCTGTGCACTTTATTTCTGCCCCCGTGGCTTTGGCTGAGACCTGTGTAGCCTGCTGCCCCCCCGACCCCTCACCCCAGATGGACCCGCTGTGCCTTCTACCACTGATGTACATACTCATGTTTCAAATAATTTTTCTTCCTGCCGCTCGGCAAGGGTTATTTTGTTTTATATATAAAATATATATATAAAGTTCTTGGAGAGTGTGTCTTAGATACTGGATATTCAGATGCCAGCCTCCTTTGGGGCCAGACCAAGAATGAGACGGGGAGGTAGAGTGGGGTGCACCTTGGCAAATGCCTGCCCCTTTGGGGAAGCTGGGTTCTTGTCTGACTCCAGTATTGGTAGAAGGGTACCAATTATCTTTCCATATCCATAGTAGCTCACTGAAACAGGTGTGTTTATTGAGCACCTACTGTATACCAGCCATTCTCTACCCATGATCTCATTTAAACTTGAGCTTTAATCCTCAGGACAACCCCTACAAAGTAGCCTTTAATGTTGGAAGCAGGTACAGAGAGATCAAGCAATCTGCAGGAGGTCACACAGCTTTTAAAAGATATCTGAACCCTGGCCTCTTACAGATCTGCAAGTATTCTTACTGCTACAAGCCACATGTTCATAATGTGTGGGCTGTTTGGGGGAAGAGCCTCAAATACCTGGGTGAAGTGTGAGAAAAAGGCTGTCTTGCCCTGGATCACATGCATTTTTTAGGGAGCAGGTAGGTTCATACAAGGCAGGGTGTAGGACCCCTCTGCTCTTGGTTTGTGATGAACCTGGGACTACTTCCGTGACCGCTGGAGTTCTCTGAAGTCCGGGGTCTGAGCATGCTCTCAGCTGTCAGCCTCCAGACGCCGGGACAGGATGCTGAGGACACGCTGGAACTTCTCGAGTCGCATGGCCAGAGGGGCTGCTGCCCCTCTGCTCCCCCAGAGCAGTCTCCGCAGGAAGCCAGTGGTCAGGGCCTCCCTCAGCAGCTGGTTGGGCTGGAACCCTGGGGTGTGGCCAGGTGGGCTGGAGGTGGGGCCCAGGCTCCTGCCTTGCCCCTTGACACCTGCCTTCTCTCCTGGGGACTTTGAACCAGCATGGGCCAGGCAGGACTCTGCCCCAGGTACTCTGAGGGTGGAGCTACGGGGCTAGGGATGGGGAGTGGGCTGTTCTTATTCTCTGCAGGAGTGGGGGTGTGGGGGTGTCGATGCCAGTGGGTCTGCCAGGATGCTCAGAACAGTGTTTCTTGCAAGATCCTCTGGGAGGACCTGTCCCAGGCTGGATTTGGGGGTTCTAATGTCCTCTGTGACAAATCTGGGCCGAGGTGATTGGGGGTCACCACATTCTTAAAAGGGAAAGCAATGACCCAGGTAGGGGATTTTGGAATCTGGGCTTCCCCAGGACAGGAGGGAAGTGTGGCTTTAAGTGCAGTGCCAGTGCTGTGTTACCAGGTTGAAGGGCAGCTATTCTGGAAAGTGCTGGGTGCCTAATGGGGTTGGGACCCTGGAGGAGCGGGGAGGCTGTCCCAGGTGGGAGGGTGGGAGTGGGACCCCATGGGAGTGTCTCTGGGGGAGAAGGTCTCCCCATGGGCGCGGGAGGACGTTGCTCCTCTCCATACTGCAAGTAGCCGCAAGTCCTTCCCGTGAGAACCAGCTGCGGGCAGGGCCGTCCCAGCTCGGGTGGGACTCTGGGAGGCGTGGCGGGAGCAGCGTGGGGGGGGGTGTCTAGTCCTTGCTGGATTGGTTTGGGGTCACAGGTTAGCGCGTGAGGATTGCTCCTCAAGTCAGGTGCCTACGACAGCCCGACAGCCCAGCCGAGAACACTAGGAGCGCTCACCTTGCAGGCGCCCTGCCGCGGCAGCTTGGAACTTGGGTGTGTCCGCGGCCATCCGGCGCGCCCCCTGCAGGGTGCTCAGCAGTCGCTCACAGCTCTGCTCCAGCGGCCCCGGGACATCCTCGCCCTCCAGCAGTCGCACCACGGGTGCCACGTGCGGCAGCGCCACCTCGCCAGGGTCGCAGGGGCCTGGGGAGGAAGGCATCTGGGCAGAAGGCAGGGCCTGGTTGAAGAGGGTGGCACACCGGACTAAGGCACCCACGGACAGAAGCACCCGGCGGCGCTCGGAGCAGACCGAGAAGGGGGAACCTCGAACGGGAACAGCTGGACCCGGGCAGGGGCGGAGTCAGGCCGAATCTAGGGCAGAAGGGCCTGACACAGAAGCTGGAGTCTAGCACTGACTTAGATCTGAGTCAAGGGCCCCGCCTAGGGCAGCGACTGAGTGCGAGATTAAAGCAGATTAAAGCGGAGGGGTTGGGGTGGGGTGGGCGGGGCCCCGGGCTAGGCTGGCTGCAGGGGGCGGGGCCTGAGGTCAGAGGCGGGGCCTGGCGCGGCGCGGGGGCGGGGCCTGGGGCTGGCTGCCGAGTGCGCGCGCAGCGTGGTGGGCTCCCCTCACCCGCGCCCTCATCCATCGCCTGCATCAGCGGCTTCAACTCCTGCTCGAAGGCCAGCGCCGCCTCGGTGTGAGTTCTTCGCAGCTGGCGCCATGTGCGTTCCAAGCGGGCCACCTGGGGAAGAGACTTGAGCCTGTATAGGCACCTTGTCCCTCTTCCTCGTCATCTGCACTCACCGTCTCTGCCTCCCCCGCACCTGGGGCATAAGTAGGGCGCCCATGACCGCGGCCAGCCCAGGCAGGTCTCCTGCCGCCCCTGGCCGCAGTGCCAGGGCCAGCTCCACCAGGCCCCTCAGGACAGCCGTGCGCTCCTCCAGCGATCCCGTGCAGCCTAGCACCGCCAGCGCCCCGGCCAGAGAAAGCGCCTTGTGCCTGTGGAGACGAAGGGCCTGGGGGCAGTGGGGAGGTTTGGAAAGCAGGAGTGAGGGAGGATGTGAAGTGGCACTGCCCATCCCACTCCCTCCTTGGGGGCGAGGGGTGTCGGAAGATTTGGAGAAACTGGAAATCCCAGGTGACTGGCTCACCTTTCCAGGAGTTCCAATCTTAGGCAGTGCCCACCAGGAAGCAGGAGCAGCTCCAGCCCAGAGGCAGCCCCCACTGGGCCCTGGTGAGCCTTGGGCACTCCCTGGAGACCACTGGCCTGGGGGGTAGGGGAGAATCAGGAAAGCAAGGACAGTGTGATGGAGTTTGGGTCTTGTTCTGGCTTCAGCTCTGCTTGGGGAGGAGACCTGGCAGGTAACCCACCTGGCAGTCTACCAACAGCAGGTGAAGGGCTGTGCTCTCAGGATGATGCTCCAGGAAGAGGCCCCGGAGGGTGTCTAGGACCTTGGGCTCCAGGGGCCGATTCTGAGTTCCCAACAGGCAGAAGAGGTTGTCAGGGGGACTCAGGGAGAGCTCAGCTTGTGGTCTTAGTAAACATCTGTCTTCTTCCTTGGTAAAGGTCTTCCACCACGGGGCCTCTGGCTCTGGGCAGTTGTGGTCAGAGGATGTTCCTCGGGCACTGGGCACTCGAGGTACCAGCTCACAGTACGTTGGGGGGTCAGACAATGCCAGTGATGGGGTTCGAGGCGGCTTGGTGGGTGCTTTGGCATGGAGCTGCTCATCAGAGGCCCTGAGGCTGTAGGCAATGGTCCCCAGAGAAGCTGGGGCCTTCAGCAACATGGGGTCACTACCCATCCGAGGCAGGACAGATGTGAGTATGGTGGAGGCTCCTAGGGATCATACAAGAGGGGGTTCATAAAGACAGCTGAGGGGAGGGGCTTTAAGAGCTACCACCATCTTGGCTCTTCTGCTCATTCAGCCAAGGTACCCCAGTCTACCTTGGGGCAGCTTTGAATTTTAAGCACTGAATAAATATAAATGCTGCACACTTTACAAGAAACAAGCTTTCTTGACATATATGTACTTTTGTGAATTCTGAATACTAGATTTAAAATTTGAATTCTTTGGCCCCTCTGAAGATAAGCACGGATGAAACAAAATGAAAGTGAAACTCTATTATTTAAAATTCACAAAGTTTCCATATAAGCATCCAAGAAACAATGTATCAAGTTGTCAAATGGTGTCTTTTGTTTAGTTTGTGGTATGTTTACTTTTGAGGTTATTACCATTGAAACTGCCCCCAGACATTTGGGAGATTAACCATCAAGCATTAAATAGTCAGTGTTCTGGTTCCTTAAGACCTCCCCATGGCTCTCAGATCTTTCTGAGTAAGGGCCGGTAGCCACAGAATAGTCAAAAAAGCCCTCAAATTCTCAGTCCCAGATCTTTCTGACTTCCCACTCACTTCCACTGCTTTTGCAACAATGAATAAAATGCTTGTTCTGGCCCCAGGACATCTGCACTAGCTGTTCCTTCTGTCTGGACCCTTCTCAGCCCCATTCTCCCACCTCACTTCCTCCCTCACCTACAAATCTTTCTGCATAAGACCCTTTTCTGATTACTATGTCAAATCACAATACTTATTCCTATTTCCATACTCCCTATCTCCCTTTCTCTATTACAGTTTAATTTTTTACCCCACAGCATACATAAATTGACTTGTATTTGTTTATGGTCCATTTTCCTCTAATTGGAGGTTGGATCAACTCTAGTAGGAATTTCTTGTTCATTGATTTATTACTTAATACAATGCATGACATGTGATGAGGGTTCATGTTGAATTGGGGCGATAGGGAACAGTAAAAGGATAGACAGGATAGAGGGGTACTCTTCCTTGAGGTAGGATGGTCAGGGTCAGCTGTTTTGAAGAACCCATGTTAGAAGAGATGGCACCACTCATGAAAAGGTTAAAGGAATGGACTTTCCAATGGCAAAAACAGTAAGTGCAAAAACTCTGAGGTGGGGATAAATCTGGAAGATTCCAGCAACTCAAAGGAAGACCATGTGACTGGAGAGCTGAGGGGATGTAGCAAGAGCTTTTAGAGAGGTCATTCATGGTCAGAACACATAGGGCTTCTTAGAATAATTGTGAACCTACATTTTAAAGTAGCGACAAAGTTCCTGTATGTTTTTAAACCAATATGACAACTTTGAAAGCATACTGTCTTCATTTCCAAGAGGTTAAATCACCTGCCCAGGTCACTCAGGCAGCGTGACAGGTCCAGTGTCTAAGCCACATGCTGTCCTGGGTGAGCCTTACCTGGGACAAAGGGATCTTCTGGTGACTGCCCTAGGTGCTCCAAGCCTGCCGGCTGGCTGTCACTCCGTTTCCTAGCCCTGTGGGACAGCAATGGCAGAGATTTGTAGCCCCAGCCTGAGCAGAGCACCCCCACTGATGCCCAGACATCCCTTTATCCAGTCATGCAGGACCAGTGGATTCCAGCTAGGGTGCCCTGCCCCCAGGGGACACCTAATGCCAGGAGACAGTTTTTGGTGGTCACACTGGTAGGCGGGGCTGGAGGACTGGGCTGGCGTTTGGGAGGCGGAGGCTGTGGATCCTAACATTCTGCTGTTGGTGGGCAGCCCTCCAACACCCCGATGCTGTGGACCCCAAAACGGATAGTGCTGAGGGGGGGGCGTGCTGCTGAGCTGAGTGGCGTTTGGGAGTGTGTACCTGAGGGGCTCTGTCTGCGCTGGGGTCTCTTGGAGGGAATCGTCGCTAAAGCTGCGTCGCATTGACCCTTCCCGAATCACTGGTCTGGAGGCCACTGCTCCTGTGGCCTGGGACAATGGTCGCTGGCCAGTGATATAGCTTCGAATCAGGGCAGGCAGGCTTGGGAAGCGCTCATCCTCCAGCTGAAAGAGGGTGGTGGGCCAGCCTGGTCGGGGACGCAGAGCCACGAGGAGGACTTCGAAGTGCAGAACCGAGCCCCGCCAGCGACAGGAGATCACAGGATGGCCCCCACGGGACCCAGAAGCGCGGACCAAGAAGTCTCCATCTTGCTGAAGAAGGGCCTCAGCCTTCTGGAGGAAGAAGGGGTGAAGGGCAGGGGGCAGGAGGTGTAGACATCAGTCCAGATCAGTAGTTCATTAACTACTGATAATGGGTAAGACCCACCCTCCAAGAAAAATTACCCAAGTGATTGGGTAGTTTTGCACTGAGCTACCTTCCCCATGGGCACACCTCTGGACTACATTTCCCAGGTTCCCTTGCAGTTAGTCATCGTATGACAAGACCTGACCAATAGGATGATGTGCAGAAGCCCCTGAGAGGTGTCCAGACCTGGCCCATAGAAATCTCCTGCACAATCCTCCCAGTTCTGTTCCCTATCTGCCAACGGGGTCTCCCTAAAGCCGGGCGGGGGGGAGAGGAGAGAGGGGGGGTGGCAGAGCCACGCAACGAAAGAACTTGGATCCTGCTGATTTCTGGAGATGCACCTCAACACTCCCCAGCCACCCTGGAGTATGACATGAATAAGCATATAAATGTTTACTGTGTTTAGTGGGTAACATCTAGCTGACGCTACTAATGCAGCTTCTAATCTGAGTAAATGCTTTGTTGGGCATAGGTGGCTTCAAGGGAAGTCATTAGCTGGATCCTTGCAGATAGACTGTGCTCCATAAATCCCCCTTTATCAAAATCTTCATGCAGTCTTATGCCAGCCATCGTGGCTAGTGTGAAAACAGAGACTAAGGGGTTATGACACAGAGAGGCACAGCGGAGCTGGCAGAGGGGTCTGGGTATTGAGTCATGCATGCAGTGAACACATGGAGAGCTTGTCCAATATGCCAGAGTTTTACCAGGCATATTATAATTCTTTACTAAAGGTTAAGCAGTAGGTACCGTTATCCTCACTTTACAGATGGGAAAACTGAGGCCCAGGGAGGTCAAACACCTTGCTCCAGGCTTCTCTAAACATAAACTGTGAAGCTGGGACTTGAACCCAGGATATCTAGCTCCAGGGTGCAGGATTTTAACCACTAAGCTACATTTTGCCCTTCGTGATTTGATTGGAGCCCAGGGTCCTAGAACTCCTGAGGGGGACTCAAGTTAGAGATGAGGATGGGGTGGCTTTGGACTGAGAGACAGATGCTAGAAGGGAGATGAATGCTGATGGCCTCAGATGACGAGGACCTAGAGGGAGAGACAGAACCAAGGGGTGGTTTGTGGGTGTTAGGACCATCTTCAGACTTCATCCTCAACAGCATTCCAAAGAAAGTGATAATGGGACTATAAGGACCAACTTGCTGTCATGCCAACCACGCTTCAAGACAGTTGACAGTTCCCAGCCCCAAGCCACCCTTGGCCCTTTGTCCCTCATCCAGGACCAGGTAATTCTAGGTTGCCTAGTTGTATGTTACTCAGGAGCCCCCATATATCAAGAGCAGGAAAGGCCCCATCAGATGATGCTGAGGGCCTCAGAGGTAGTACCTGACGAGACAGGGGGCCGTGGTACCAGGAATGACTGGCAAAGTCCTCTTCATTCTGTGGCAGCTGCATGGAGCTCTTGGCAACAGATGGTGCTGGGGATGAGCTCTGTTTTTCCATAGGTCTCAGTCTTCCACATCTGGAAAACAGGAGACTATTTCCTGCTTTCCAAGCTTCCTGAATGACTCGGTTGGTCCTTCCATGTGCCTCTAAGTTTTGAAGTCAGCAGTACATGACCTATCAAAACTTAAAATGCATATTCATTCTCTCTTTGTCCATCTGTCTACGTATCTATTATTTGTTAAATAACAAAAATTTGACCAAGTAAATGTAAAGATCTAATTAACTTTACTGAATGATAAATGAATCTGGCAGTATCCCACTAATAGAAAGCGCTCCAAAGAATGGTACAAAATGGAAAATTCTTAAAGACAGAAAGGTGGTGAGATCCAAAAAGGACTGTTTATACTCTGTTGCCTTTGGTTACCTTCCTAAGGAGAAAAAAGGGGCGTGTTGGACAGATAACGTCATGCTGACCAAGTACTTCTAGATTACCTGGTTGTATATTAAATTTGGGAAAGATAGATTGCAATTAATTTAGATATTAAATCTTGGTTTATTTGTGTGGGGTTTAGTGCAGGTGACTCCATTTTGAGTCTGCTGACTCTCCATGTATACACATATATGCACATATATCTGAAATCTAAATTAGTTATTCATATATGGATTATAAATGTATAACTTATATAAAATAACACTTAATATACATATTCAAAATCAGGTTATGGGTAACATTAGTATTGGCTGTGATTACATGAAAACAATCACACATTCACTAGGAATCCTGGATGTATGTAACCTATGCATAGCTTTGAAAAGTAATGCCATTTACATGCAGGTGAATAATGCTATATTTTGCAGAAGTGTAATTAAGCAGTTTAGTGAAGCCTTTATTTACGGGGTACCTTCTGATGCCATTCTGGCCAGACACATATTAGTAAACAAAACAGACTGGGTCCTTTGCTCTCCCCTAGGGCAAAGATTCATAGGAAAAGTTTGAATCAATTCTAACGAGCTGTCATTCTAGTGAGGGAGACAGCGACTAAGCAAATAAGTAAACAGATGAGAGAGAGCCAAGTGAAGAAGTTAGGGAGATTCAAGTGGTACAAGACTCAAGTAATAGTTTCCCATAGGTGGCTAGGGAAGATGTCATGTAGTGATAGCTGGGAGGATGTTGAGGGAGTGAGCCAGGTAGCTCTCTGGGTAGAAGAACATACCAGGCAGGGGGACCTGAATTTACTAATGTTCACAGCATAGCCATTTTTAAAAATATTTGCACACGCAAGGATTTTGAGATGGAAGACAACCTAACCTATACTTTGCTTCCTAAATTAAATGGTCCCAGGTGGTAGAAATGTTAGCTGATGCATGCAATTGCATGTTTGTGGATTCTTATAGTTTGGAACTGATGTATTTCCTTAGGTCAAATGTAGGGTCTAGACCCTCGGAGTCTCCTTTAACCAGCACATAGGCTTCAGGTTTGTGTGCCCTGTGGGAAGAACCACCCTGAATGGAAGGATAGGGGGCCAGTCTGCCACACTGCCCTCACCTCCCCCAAGGTCTTGTGGGCCTGGTGGAGTCCACAGGATTCCTGCCTCCTGAGTCAGCCTGGCTGAGGGCCTAAGAGGACCAGAAAGTTAGTTCCAGATAAACCTTAGGTGGATAAAGGGTGGGGCGGCTCCAGGCACTGCATACCTGAGAGCCAGGTGTGCCTCCCAAGTGCCTGTGCACTTCCTTTTGTCAGTGAGGACGGCCTCAGGCTTGGTTGCAAGAGTCCCCCCAGCACAGTTTCCTCTGTCGAGTGTCCCCCTTAGTGGTGTGGAGGTGAGTCACTGACAAGGCTCTGGCTCGTTTGGGAGGGTGGGTGAAGCTCAGTGTGGGCAGAAGTCAGCCATGGGCATGTTCTCTGGAACAATTTCTGCGTCTTTGGGCAGGGGAGACAGGCAGGGGGCAGGATCAGGAGGGGTGTAGGGAAGGGGCAAGCACATACCCTATGACTGTATACATGTGCACAGATGTGCAGGGGCCCAGCCAGCTGCACATAAGACACATATGAACACAGGGTCTCACACGTGACATCGAAAAAACATTGATGGAGCACTAGTGTGTGCTGGCGGTACAGTAAAGATGCAGTCAAGAAAAACACTAGCACCCAGCCCAGCTCTGCCTGGTGCACGAGACTCAAACAAAAACCCCAAACACACAATGGATAAAGAAGACAAATTCTAAGTGTAATCCACGAAGGTGAGAAAGCAGGGAGATATGATGAAGTTGGGGGCAGGATACTTTAAATAAATAGTTGGGGAGGTCTCTCCCACGAAGCGGCACAGGAGCTGCCCAAGATAATGGGAAGGAGACCTAGTTTGCAAAGATTGGAGAGAGGTCCAGGTGGGGGTAGAGCAAACGTGGAATAAGGGACGTGTTCCGTGCTGCACAGAAACGTGCCTACAGGAGCAAGCGAAGGTGCACCGACGCACAGCCGCCCAAACAGGCACTCGGAGACCCCGTCTGCGTCCGCAGACGCGCGTGGAGAGGGACGTCGGGTCCCAGGTCCTCCTTGCAAATCCGTGAACCTACCTGGAAACGAGCGGATCTCGCACCTCAACAACCCGTCGGAGTCTCCGGCGCTCCAGATTTACCTCGTTCTGGACCCACCGAGCTACCGAGAGCCTAGGGGCGCGTCGCAGCCCGAGGTTCCAAGGCTGCGGGCTCCTCCCTTCACGCCACAGGCAGGTTCCGCCTGCTCCCGCCGCGCGCGGGCCCAATCACCTGTCAGCGCCCGAAGACCCCGCCCGGTCTGGAGCTTCCATGCACTCAGCCCGCCCCCGGGTCCCGCTCCGCCCTATCAGAGTCTCCCTTTGCGCTAACCACACCCCTTTGCCTCGCCCCTAGGGTCCATCCCTCCCCCTTTGCCTCGCCCCTAGGGTCCATCCCTCCTTGCCCAGCTCACTTAACCCACAGAAATCGCCCGCACCTTTTTCGCCTCGCCACGCCCGCCCTGCCACCCCGCCCTCAGGGAATAAAAAATCGGATTTCCACCCAACAGCCCGGTCCCTTAGACACTCCCCGCAGACTGGCCCTAAGCACCCGCGGGCCTCGGGCCGGTGCTATTGTCTCGCTCCGCCGCTCCGGGGTTCCGGGATGGGGCGGGCCGACACCCACCGGCTTTCTCGCCAGCCCGGGGCAGCTGCGCCTGTGACGTGCAGGCTTCCTCCAGGCGGTCCCCATGGGTTTTCCGGAAAGAAACCCTTTTTAGGTTTTGCGGAGAGATATGGGGGAAACGCAGTAGCCTCCCCCGGTGACAGCTTGATGGACCTGAATTAGACTCTGGTGGTTGTGTGGGGAAGCAAAGAGGGGTGGCATTCAGGGGGTTTCCCAGGCCAGAGGAATGAGGGGGCGGGATAGATCCCCGATATCTGGAGATAAGCTTCTGTGTGTGTCTGAAAAAGCGGGAGGACGCTCAGGCCTCGCATATTGAGGGCTCATAATAAAGACCACAGTGTTGAAAGCACTAATTTATCGATTGCCCGTTGGGTGCCATTCTGCTTGCTTGCTCTGCCTCAACGCATTTCATTTTTACAGACAGCAAACGAGGTAGGTAGCACTATTGCCACAGGCCCGGTCTTCCAGCTGCAGGAACAGGCACTGGACAGCAAAGCCCCTTGCCCAAGCTGACCGGCTCCTGAGTGGCCAGACTGGGGATTCCGGCCCCCCCTCCCCCGGGGCCCTGGAGCGCCGTCCTTGTTCTCATTCCACCGTCCAGCCCTCTCTGGCCTCTCCCATAATCCTAAAAGGCGAAAATTGAAATTGCTGTCCCCCGTTGACAGACGGGGTGTGGGGGGGAATTGACTCAATAATGGTTGAGGACAAAACGTTTTGGTGTCAGTAAAGCTGGGAATTTCCAAATTGGGCTTTCCCGGCGACGCGCTGAAGAAGGCGGGCTCCGAGGGGCTGGCTGTTCACCGTGACCCTTAACCCTTTACCCCTAGTTTTGGTACGGGTTTGCGGGGTGGGGGGGAGTGGGGGGGGGCAGGGGCTATGTTCCGTGCAGGGGTCTAGCGCCCCCTAGCGGCTAGGGAATCAAAAAAGAAAATCTAAGCGGGGGTGGTTCCTTGTGAGGTGAGGGGAGAGGGGAGACAACCCACTTCTTAGTGGAGTAGAGGGAGAGACACCTCATAGACAAGGTGATTTCGGGTAGCGATGAGGCCTATGAAGGCAGCAAATGTTTGTTCAACGAATGAATTAATGAACGACGCTGAGTCTATGAGGAACGAGAAGTGGGCAGGGCGGTAGGGAGAAAGGGGTTGGGGATTAAATGTCAGAGACAGAGCCAATGGAATTTTCATTTATCCATTCATTCAGCAAATACGGGGCATGTCACGCACCGGGGTGGGGGTGTCCAGCGGTGCAGGGAACATAAGAAATAACTTGGCAAAGAGACAAAGATCTAAGTAAACAT